TATGTGTTAATGCTTTAACCTCTGGTGTAGTATGTGTTAATGGCTTAACTTCTGGTTTAGTATATGTTAATGGTTTAACTTCTGGTTTAGTATGTGTTAATGCTTTAACTTCTGGTGTAGTATATGTTAATGCTTTAACTTCTGGTTTAGCATGTTAATAGTTTAACTTCTGGTTTATTATGTGTTAATGGTTTTTGCTGGTTATCAACCTGAATCTTTTCCTAAGCCAAAACATGTCAATAATTTATATCTATTTTAAAATAAATCATATTCAATCTGTAAACCCATTTACAATGTATAGGGTACACCTGAGAAATCTTACCTGAACGAAAGTGTCGACATCTCTGTCTAATGGTGGAGAAAACTATGTTAATCATTCAGATCATTTCAGTAATTGTTATCATTATTAGCTCACCGGGCCCGAAGGACCAACATGAGCTTATGCCATACTGTGGCGTCCGTCGTTCGTCCGTAGGCCAACAATTTCTTTAAACGACTTCTTCTTAACCATTGATTGGAATTAACTAAATTTGACTAGAAGCATCCCTAGGTGGTGGGGATTAAAAATTGTACAAATGGTGGGGCTGACCCCCAAGGGGGTTGAGGGGCGGGGCTAAAAGCGGGCACTTTGGCTATATTGCTATAAGCGACTTCTCTGGAACAAAGAGATGTATATCAACCATATTTGACTGAAAGTATCCCTATATGTTAATAGTTTAACTTCTGCTTTAGCATGTGTTAATGGTTTAACTTCTGGTTTAGCATGTGTTAATGTATACATATTGCTACAAACAACTTCTTCTGTAGAACTATGCACTTGATATTGATCATATTTGATCAAAAGCAATCATTGGAAGCAGGGATTCAAAATTGTACAAATGTTGGGGCTGACCCCGCAGGGGGCTGAGGGGTAGGGCCAAAAATGGGCAATTTGGCTATATTGCTATAAACGACTTCTGTAGAATTTTGCCATGGATATCGATCATATTTGGTCAGAAGCATTCAATTTCAATAAATTTTATTGTCAAAGGACAAATGGATTGGGCAGCAGGCATAGCCTATTTAAGCCCTTTCCAAACATAGTAACAGACAGTGGTACAAGCATAGACATAGACATAGAACACATACAAACACATATAAACAAGTTTGGTATTATCAAATTAATAATCAAATTAGGGGAAACAACTACTAATACTCATTTTTATTATAATTGAATCTAATGGTTTGAATTCTAACCTTTTATTTTGATATTGAAAAGACATATAAAATATATACCGGTATATGCATATTATGAAGAGAAAAGAAAAATAGTTTGTTGATGAAGCTGCATGTATAAACATTTGATAGGATTAAATTACCGCACCCAACAGATACAGGCCAAAAAATCCATTGTATCACACAAGGCCATCCACTGATGAGTTTGGAAATTCAATCCCACCAAATAGTTTAATTTATGCATATTAAACACAGGTTAGATATATAATTAACATGTTGTAAAGCTTTATATTCTTATTTATGTAGTTGTTTCCCAATATTTTTTAATAAAAAAGTATAACTGGTCTTCTGAACCCCAGCCCCCCTCACTAACAATATTTAAAAATAAACAATGAAGACAAATAGGAAATATTAATATTAATATTCATGTACCATTTCTGGAAATCAGAAGAATTACATTGAGAAAAAATAAAATGTAAA